AGATAAATTCGACATTTAGAAGGGATAAAAAAATACTTGAATTCATACATCGACACCTTTAAAATATATAATGTTGCGTGCGTACGGGTTCGTTATGAAATGAATGCACAAGTCCGATGAAAAATGAACAAAAATTTATTATTATCACAACAAAAATGCTTAAATTTTCTCAAATTATCATGCAGTATTACAATATCTCACAGTTAGTTATCTTTTAACTACTCAAATGTCCAATAGAACGTAATTCAAAACAGCTAAAGAACGCTAATCCGCGAATTCGCTACAATCAACAAGAGCAGTTTTCTAACAACAACAAACCAAGCAACTACTACAAACTGAGATGTTTTCCTCCTTTTATAAGATTTTAAAATCACGCGCTAGAATTTTCCAGTACTTTCTCGAAATCAAAAAGAGATATTTATTTATTTAATGCACGCGCTCTTGTATTTTCATTTTCCGGCTTAGCTTTCTTTTATATTCGTCACGCGCTGCACTGCGCGAGAAATAAAACCATTTAATTTATAATTGAAGTAACATTAGGTTTTTAAATACCAATTCGTAACACTGCCCCCTTCCCAAGGACTGCACGTTCCCGGCAGTACAATCCTGGACAGGAAGCTAAACTTACAACTGTGGCATAAATGCAACTGAGGGCATAAACATTACATTACAATATCAAACAACATGAACAATAAATGCAATAACTAACTAAACAAATCAAATGCTATCAAAACACTAAATACAAAACAAATACTAAATACAAATCAAATACTAAATGCAAATCAAATACTAAATACAAATCAAATCAAATACACATTTAAAAACATAAAGGACCATGGTCTGATATTATTTACAATTATTTACATTACGTACTATGGCCATAGTAATGAGCTAACCTGTCGTAAGAGTTCGAAGACTCACGGATCCGAACCATGACGTCATTTAGCCTGTTTAGGATTGTGTGCGAACCATCCCAAGGTGACTGTAAATCAGGTCTGACTCCTTTTCGTCGAATCGGGTTCCACAACCACACCTTGTCTCCTTCGTTGGATCTATGTCCAGCAGCTCTCGTGTTGTATCTGGTCTTCACTTTCTCCGTGACCAAGTTCACTCGCTTTCGTACGGAACGGTGCATCGCTTCAAAACGGGCCTGGACATCTTGGATGTGTTCATCAGGCGATGAAGGCGCATCCGTATGGCGATCAAACAGGCGGTCATAAGGCAGACGAAGGTCTCGACCGAAGAGCATCTGAGATGGAGAATAGCTGGTAGTCTTGCGTTTCTTTTCAACCCTAGTATGATTTCGGCAGCTTCCCGAGCTGGATCTTTCGGACAAGGCGTCGACATTTCCAGGCGAGGATCCCTTTTGAGGATGGATAGTCATGCCGTCAGAGGCTGAAAGCAGTTTGTCGTTTTTCAAGTCTAAGGAAAAATTGTATTTCCTTAAAAAGTCCAATCCGAGTATGCATGGATCTGTGATATCCGCCACATAAGCCGTGTGATGGTAGGCGGGACTTCCAAACGTGATGCTTACGTTTAACTTGCCAATTATGTCGATCTTATCACCAGACGCAGTCTGAAGGGTAACACAGGATGGCATCCAAATAAGTTTATCTTTAAACTGTTCAGCTAAATCATTCCTAATGATGGTAACATTAGCTCCTGTGTCAATGATCATATTGCAAGGAACTCGATCGATATTCCCATTAATGGACATTCCGTTACTGTTGCCACTCATTGTATAAATTTTAAGCGCTTTAAAACAAGGTTTTTCACTATCTGGCAACCTCCGTTCCTCGATATGGTCACTAATTTGTTTACTGCGTTGTTGCTGGGAAATGGTCTTATTTTCCGTACCTCGGAGTGTTCTGCAGTTTCTTCGTATGTGGCCTTCAACTCCGCAGTTCCAGCACTTTAGAATTAGTTTCTTTTCACTTCTGTTCCGTCTCAAGCCACTGACTTGTCTGGTAAAATCATCTGTTTTATATTCCGTACCCTGGGGTGTTCTGCAATTCCGTCTTAGGTGACCTTCACTACCACATCTCCAACACCTTAGAGCCACTTTCTTCTCGCTCCTACTCCGTATCAAAGCGTCGACTTGTCTGGCTAAATCATCTATACGAGCCATCAGTTGATCCACTGGCTCATGGACTCGCACAGCTCTAACTGGGTAGCGGTCTCGACGAGTGGCTTGCTGGGCTGCCTCGAATTTCATGACGTACACTAGAGCGCTTTTTAAATCTTTTACATCCGCCATTCGTAGAGCTTTTTGTATTTCAGTAGCCCGGATGCCGTCGATAAAGTATTGCAAGGACAGGATTTCCCTTGTTTCTGTCGGGCATTCCGAAAAGGCGAGATGGGACAGCCTTTTAACATCCGTGGCGAGCTCCTGAAGTGTTTCGGTAGGCTTATGTTGACGAGATTTTTAATTGGAGCCTGCTGTAATCTTTTAAACACTTCTCTCCAAAGCGCAGCTCCAAGGCGCCGGACAGAGCTTCGAAATCTAACCTTTGTTTTCGGGAAGAGTCTGAAGGATATCCGCTGCGTCGGCTCTTAAAAGAAGCGGCGAGATGACAGGCCTTAGCTTGGGAATCCATCCATTCGCATCCGCAACGATAGAAAACTGGGTCTTGTACACTTGCAGGATGTCTTCCATCATATGTGGATAGCTTCAGAAATGAACGAGCAGGCATCGATAAGAATTTTAAAATCATCACTCTTGCTCCTGCCGTCGCTACGAATTTCTTTAAAGTTTCCATTTCTTTGGCAACTGCAGAAACTCTCTCATCAATTTGTTGTTCTATTTAGTGTTGGACGGCACAAACTCTTCCTTCAATTCGTTCCTCCACAGCCGAAACTCTCCCTTCTATATGTTCTTTTTCAGAAGAAACTTTTTTTTCTATTTCTTCTTTCACCGAAGAAACTCTTTCTTCAATTTGATCTTTTACGAAAGAAACTTTTTCTTCAATTTGTCCAACTTTATTTTCAACTGTGTCAATTCTGCCTTCCATAGCTTCAAATTTATTTTCTATTATGCAGGTAATTTCTCTTTTCATTTCTTCTTGACATGCTTCAATCTTTTCTTGACCAGCTTGAACGGCTTTCATTTCGTCCTTAACGGATTCCTGGCCCAATTTCATTTCTTCTTTAAATGAGGCAAAGGCTGATATTAACTGCCTTAATTGCTCTTCCATCGCTCTTGTTATTGGCATTCAAATCCCACTCCTGACACCAAAAATTGTTGCGTGCGTACGGGTTCGTTATGAAATGAATGCACAAGTCCGGTGAAAAATGAACAAAAATTTATTATTATCACACCAAAAATGCTTAAATGTTCTCAAATTATCATGCAGTATTACAATATCTCACAGTAGTTATCTTTTAACTACTCAAATGTCCAATAGAACGTAATTCAAAACAACTAAAGAAAGCTAATCCGCGAATTCGCTACAATCAACAAGAGCAGTTTTCTAAACAACAACAAACTAAGCAACTACTACGAACTGAGATGTTTTCCTCCTTTTATAAGCTTTTAAAACCACGCGCTAGAATTTTCCAGTACTTTCTCGAAATCAAAAAGAGATATTTATTTATTTAATGCACGCGCTCTTGTATTTTCAATTTTCCGGCTTAGCTTTCTTTTAATATTCGTCACGCGCTGCACTGCGCGAGAAATAAAACCATTTAATTTATAATTGAAGTAACATTAGGTTTTTAAATACCAAATTCGTAACAATAAGTTTTTCAACTATTTAATCTACATATTTAGAATAAGAAAATGTGTAAATTATTAGTAGTTAAATACAAAGTAACTAAAAAACATCTGGCAGAAGTGTAAAGTGAAATCGAGGAGACCTAACCAACAAGATTTTGTAACAGAATGAGAGAGCAGAAATGGTGCATTGAAGACGCTGTAGGATACAAGACGCTGTGAGTTAAAAGCATTCTGTTGATATAAACTGTCATTCTCCGTAAGAAATTTGAGAGATATGCATCACTACCCGAATTTGAAACTCACTGACATGCATTGTACTTATGGGAGTGCGAGTAAATTAAAACAGTTAGTCAAAGAAGGTACAGAAAACGATTCCTGCGTATCTCTTTTTAGCAGTACTCCGTTTCCATCCATAACCCTATAGATAAAATGCTTACCAGCGAGCCCCACGTTCAAGGGCGTAGTTAGAGGGGGGCAAGGGGGGACATCTGTCCCTGGGCGCAGCATCCGGAGGAGCCAAACTAATGTTACAAAATTTTAGAATTAAATATTTTCCATTCTTAGCAAACGGGTGGGGGCACGAAATCTTCAGCTGTCCCCGGGCGCTGAAAACCCTAGCTACGACTCTGCCCACGTTTGTGCAACGATTCATACCACTCGAAATTTGAGCAAGGTATAACAACTTACGCCAACAGAACTCTTTTATCTACCGGTCAGCCAAGTCTTGTAATACCTTAAAGCGTCCTTTATATACACCCATTCCATTACAAAATCTGCTAATTTCGATCTCCCATACCCGCCTTTATATTCTTGCGAAATATTTTTAATCCTCCTGTACATACTTACAGATATATGTTTATTTCTATATAGGTTACTTTTTTCAAATTAAATATGTTTCTTAATTCAATATATTCCTTATTAAATGTCCTCATTTAGTATATGATTATTAACATTAAATGTGAAAAGTTGAAGAATTCTTTTATGAGCTATTTTCAGTAATCTTTTGTTATCTGGACCGAATTAAGAAATGTATGTATGTATGGACATGTGTATGTATGTATATGCATATATGTGTGTATGTATATGCATATATGTATATACATATGTACGTACATGCATACATGAACGTAGATGCATGCATACATGAACACATGAATCTATGCATAAAGCCATACATACATACATTTCTGATTTCGTCCCGATAACAGAAGAGTACTCTATTTTCTTCTGTGTTAAATATAATATTCAATACATTTTGAAAATAAAATCAGAAAAAAGATCTTACTTAAACTGATGATTATGCTTAAAATAAAAAGAACCGGCATCAGAAAGAAAAGGCAAATACATAGTTTTATTTTCATACCAAATACAAAATAACTGAATTGCCAAAATAAGGCTTGAAGCTATGCGATGCCAACAGAGTAAACTTTGAATAAAAAATGTGGTAAATTTACATAATTTAATCATTATAGCAATAAGCAAAAATATATCTCTAATTTTGTCTAATTTTAAGCATTTTGATATATTTATGTACATTATATACATATATCATTCTTAGTAAGATACATAATTATGTTTTGAAATTTTTACTAAAAATTATACTTTATTTATACGTTTCATCAGAATTTTGAAAAACTAAAAGAAATTCAAATTTTTGACTAACTTTAACTATAAATTGTGTGTGTATTTGTAGTGATAAAAATGCGGCCAAATTATGCAAAATTAAAAACTGCTTTTTCAAAACTTTATACTTAAAACTAAGTGGCAACTACAAACATGAAATTGTTTCAAATTTTAGAAATGCATTCCTACATAATTCATGTAAATAAAATTTTGTTTTTGTTATGTTATTTGTTATTTAACAATTTTTGTTTAGTTATTCAACTGCAAAAATGGGAGAACTTGTTTGATTGGATACTAAAAAAAGAAAAAGATCAAATATCCAATAATTTCTTGCCCTAAGAAAATATTTTTCTTATCACGACGTTATTTACAGTGTGAGTACACAATTGTAAGATTAAGTTCGTGCAAAATCAGATCTTGCAGAAAGTAATAGTCTTTCTTCTTGATTAATTTACAATCCTTATAAGTAGGTACAACGTTTAGCATGGTCATGCAGCTTCCTGATTCTTTCGTAGAGCTTATCTTTTGGAATACTTCATAAGTCTGTGATTAGATTTTTGTGAATGTCTTTGTCTATTAAATTAATAATCTCTCAGTTTAATTTTCACTTTAGGGAAGAAAGAATAATTCTGTCAAATCTAGTGAACAAGAGCGGTTACTTAAAGTTCTGACTAAGTAAAAGTGTCGTAAATAGAAACCACTTAACGAGAATGGAATCATGTGATGAAGCATTTTCCGTGCAGTTCAGGAAAAACTTTGTGAATTATCTATTTGCAGTCAAAAACGGCCAACAATAATAAATATAAATTTCGGTCTTTTCTGACCCAAGCAGGTAATTGCATTTTGTCTCGGAATCCTAAGCACCAAGTTTCATCTCGAGTACCGGTTTGTTTGGAAAAATTAAGATTAATGTCTGCTATTTGAGATAAATAATATTGTACAAAAATTCAATATCCTTTCCGTGCTTCAGTTTCTTTCCGTTTACTGTTTCTATCAGTGCATAAAAGATAAAAAAGAAAACAAATTTTTCTTTTCGCAAGATTATTCACAGCATTTTTGTGAGCATTTTTCTATTAACATATTATGACGTATATTTAATTACGACGTTCTACTGACGTCAACTGTCATTCTAAAAATCAAGTAAAGATTGTTCAAACCAGTCGTCAAGATTTTCCAATGTTCTCATCGATTCGAGACTGTGAAAGACAACTTATCTTGGGCTCATTATGAACATCTTCGAGTACATCTGTTAGTGAAACATCTTCGAGTACATCTGTTAGTGAAACGAAAAACATTGGATAATGTTAATACTTGATTCCCGTATCCTTTGCATAGCATATCATATATCGTTTACCATTTACTTCCTTTACATCAGAACTTCATTGCTATTCTTGCTCAGCTTTCGGATCCATGATATCAAATTATCACTGGATTAAATTCAATGATGACAGAAAATTTTCAGTCAGACATATTAGTAATGTGGAAAATACCTTAGGAAATTTATTTTTCACATTACGAATATCTTTAAAATTGCTTTTAAATTTTAAAATTACACAAAAATTACTTCCTTCAGCTGAGAATTATTCATTTTATTCATCATGAGAAACCAAGGAAAAGAGAAAAAATACAAGGCCAAGTACTCTCTAATAAATATATTGTCATCTTTAGCCAAAGTTTATAAAAAAAATGTTTTAAAAGAGCATTCTGTGTAGATATAATCAATATCTCAATGAATAATTTGCCAAAATCAACGTACTTTCTTGTTACTTCCTACATGAGGAAGTGAACCACCATCTTAGCAAATAATATCATCATACTTGAAACATTTAATAAATGATAAAATTAATATTAAATTTAATAAATAAAAAAGTCTTGCTCGGAAAATAAGGACCTTTCGTATTCTAAATTTTATACGTTCTTTTTTTGCGGAAATGAGGAAAGAATGAATGTTTGAAAACTAAATCAATATTTTAGGATTTCGTGTATGCTTTGAACTTCATTCATAGATAATACCTTGCTTGTTGCTTTACCCTCGACAGTTTCACAACTTCTCTAAAACTTCTACTAAGTTTTGAGAAATCTACAATCCATTTTTAAAGTTAAGTTAAGCTCGTAGAGACTTTTTTTTAAGCCGGAGACGTGAAAAATGTGCAATGCTGTCACCGGGACTCGAAACCTGAACCTTACGAATACTTATCAAGTATGCTGTTAATTGCACTATGAAGTATATACGCAAAGGAGGAAGAAAATACCTTAAATTCTACCTCTTTTAAATGGCGACTGGGTTGACGAGACCCAATCGCCAAATCCGAAGAAGTATCGTCCACCACGTTTTCGCTGGGACTCGAACCCTGGACCTCTCCCATACACGTCGATTGTGCTTCCAATTATACCACGCAAGCATGCGGAAAGGAGGTAGGAAATACCTTTAATCTCTGATACAATTCAGTATTTATAAAATGTAAATATGTAAATGTTTTGATTATTATTTCGCTCCACCTCATACATACCTAAATTAATTAATAATGATCGTTGTTGCTTGTCACATGAAATGTTATACTGTTTGGATTGTGTGAACTTAGCGAAGTATACTATTTAGCAACTTTCAATAACAAGACCAGTTTTGCAAGTACATCCATTCTGGTCAAATATTTCTTCGGTTAACTTTCTTTCAGTTCTTTCTTCTTTTCGCATTATTTATTAAATTCTATTGACATCAATATTAAATCACTTTCGCATAAAATTTCGGAAATTTGTGACTAAACTGTTAATGAAGGTAAAACTATTTACCAAAGAAGTGGCAGTTTGAATTTAAGATATTTACTCTGTTAACTAAAAGAAAGAAGGAAAAAGAGTAAAAGATAATTTATAGTGCAAAGTAGACAGCAAATTTAGTATTGCTAAAGATACCTCTTGCAATTCATAAGGAAACATACACCATATGCCTAGCAGAACATCTCTCTTCTTCACACAAATATTGAAGACATGGAATTTCCAGAAATGTTTCTCTTTCTGACCCTCTCCTTTTTCTATGCTCATTAAGGTTGGGTTTAAAAATTCGAGAAACTTCGAAATGTTGTTGAATTAGATGCTATTTCTCCAAATGTTGTCAATTACTTCACAGAGATTCATTAGGTTTAAAATCTGTTATCGCCATTTCTACCGTACCTTTTAGTAAAATGTGAATCAGAATTACTACAAGAACCGTGAAAGTCCTCAAATTTTCAAGAAAAAAAATACGCAATTGTTATTTATGCAGTGAATCATTAAAGCTTTGAGACTGGATTCATAAGAAGTTCAGATATGTAGGCTACAACTTGATCACTGATTTGTCTTCTACATATATTTCTGCTGTTAACATTTATATCTTGGTTCATTCATGGAGCTAATATACTGCTTCGTGTAAATCAAATTTTGGAATAGTTTTTCATCCTATTTTTATGGTTTTCTTAATCACTTAAATTATCTTATAAATTAACATTAAATGGCCTGTAAGATGAAATTTTGTTTCAAGGTTTGGTTTGCTGTATTTGATTTAAAAGAGGTTTGCAAAGCACTCGAGGGCTATCTGCCTAAGAAAAGGGAGGCTTTCGTGGAGGATTTTCTAAGGAAAACTGGTTCGTATACACGTTACACATGGGGAAAACGATGAAACAAACATGCAACAGCCCGTTAACGGGATTCGAACCTCGGACCGAACTACCAGTGTCTAGCGATTTTTCCTCTCGGCCGCTAATGGGACTCATTTCAAGGAAGAGAGAGTAGTTCGCAGATGCTAAATTCTAATGAGTAAGGGGAATGACTGACAGCAGCTACACTTTTGTTTTCAATAAGCTATTTCGTGACATTCGCATTATGCGCAGAGAACTTTCTGACTTCCCGTTGCTTAGCTAATGAATAAATAATGTCAGATATCAGTTGCATAAAATTAAATGAAGACTTTCAAAACTTCTCTCAGTAAACAACAATATTTTAACATAAGTATGTTGAAAATGCGTTGGTAAACATTGCCTCTGATTAGTGTACGGTAATTTCATTGAATCACTCAAAGAATTCAGTCCTAAGACTTTGCAGATGCACTGTACAAATTCATACATATATTGTTTTGTTTCTATATTTAAACCTGAAAACAACTAAAGCCCATAAAAATGGACTAAATCTTTATATTTATGAAGTGTTTTAAAAAAAAAATCTGATGTGTACACCACATGACTTCCTTGTACGCGAGCTGAGGTTTTAGCGACTTGGTTAAAATTGCTGTGTCGTCGGCATATTTCACTACTTTTGCATTCAAAGGAACCGGCATATCATTCGTGTAGATATTAAACAGAAGCGGTCCCAGAACGCTTCCTTGAGCCACTCCGCTTTTAACTCTTTTTTTGAAGAGAGTGGTGGTGGTGGTGGTGGTGTATGGCAAAGCACTCTATTTATCTGCCTTTCTTGAAGAGAGAGAGTCATTAATTTTTACCTGAAAGGTCCTGTTTTTAAGATAGCTTTTCATGAGCTTAATAAAAACTGATGATAGGCAGATGAACAAGGTGCAGCTTGTAGAGGAGACCCTCATGCCCACACCTTGTCAAATGCTTTTTCTAGGATCTAGAAAAGCAGCTGGCGATTGTGTTCTTTTTTGCGAAGGAGTCTGCAATGAATTCTGTAACGTTCAGTAGTTGGTGCACGGTACTATGACCGGCTCTAAAACCAAACTGC